TATATTATATAAAACTGTAACTGGAGCGTGTAACAAAAGTAATTTCCCTCTAGGATTATTAAAGTATTTCTGATTCTGATTATTTGCCATAATGTAAAATGCAAACTGATAGTTTTTAATGTTGACAAATAGGCTGATGTTTTCCTATGGATTTATGCAGTCAAACTGTAGCTTCCTCTGCAGTTTTCAGGAGTAACAGTAGACTGCTAATGTCCGCAGTGACCCTGTCTGTTGCAGCCCATTTTGCTCCATCGTTACTTATCCCCGCCTCATCTACCCACAAACACACCCCTCCCCTGCTCTGCTGGCTGGCAAAGACCATGATCAATTCTTTCTGTCAGCATTGAAGGGAAAAAAAAAAGGAAAGAAAGTTGACGTCACAGTCATTATGGGCTCTATAAAAGCCAGAGTAATGCAGATTCACTTTGCAGACGACGCAGCTACCTTCACTGGCACGAAGCGGCATATCTCCGACATCATGACTTCCACTGGCTTTGACCATTATTTCCCTTCTACCTACAAGAGGAGAGTGGTGGTACGCAATGCAGGATATGGAGCTGCAGGAGGGATTGGATCCAGGTCTGCTTACTCGACACACTCCGCCCCAATGCCCTCCTATGCGTCTTCACGCAGAAGTTATCAAACATCCACCAGAGCTCCTTCCAGCTACTCATCCATCCTTTCTACTGCCGCTTCAGCTGAGCTCCGCCTTGAGCAAGCAGTCCAGGTTAGCTCTGAGTTTAAACAGCTGAGAACCCAGGAGAAGGCTGAGCTTCAGGACCTCAATGACCGCTTTGCAAGCTTCATAGATAGGGTCCATGAGCTGGAGCAGCAGAACAAGCTGCTGGAGACGGAGCTGCTGCTGCTCAGGCAGAGGCAGGCAGAGCCATCCAATCTTCGGGCCCTGTATGAGCATGAGATCCGCCAACTCAATGCTGCCGTTGAAGAGGCCCGCCATGAGAAGCAAGTGGCACAGGACCATAGAGACGAGATGGAGGATGTCCTGAAGAACCTGCAGAAACGCTACGAGGACGAAGTCCTCGGTAGAGAGGAAGCAGAGGGACGGCTCATGGATGCCAGGAAGGGAGCAGATGAAGCCGCTCTGGGCCAGGCCGAGCTGGAGAAAAGGGTCGGCACCCTCCTGGACGAGTTGGCCTTCCTGAAGCGCCTCTGCGAAAGCGAGATCGCCGAGCTGCAGGCCCAAATTCAATACAGCGTGGATGTGGCAGTGGAGATGGAGGTCTCCAAGCCAGACCTCTCCACAGCTCTCCGTGACATCCGCAGCCAGTACGAGACGATGGCTCAACGCAACCTGCAAGCGGCTGAAGATTGGTTCTGCAACAAGATGAGCGTGATGACCGTGGGCTCCTCACGCAGCACAGAGAACGCACGCAGCGCCAAAGACGAAGCCGGGGAGTACCGTCGACTGCTCAAAGACCGAACCCTGGAGATCG